AAGTTTACTCGCGCATGTCATCCATTGACAGTGTCCCTTTAAGTTTGTTTACTCATGAGTTTAAGGTCCTAAATTAATTAATCCTAGCTAAGTGCTTCGAAACAATACCTCCAACCTTCTTTTTCATTAAAATAAGCCAATCATTCCTGGTTATTTCTTAATAGGAAAATGTATAAATAAAACATGAAATATGAAATTCAGAATTTGACATCTGCATCTGACAACTTATTGCCTTCGAAGGTAAGGAGACAGGCAGCTTGGCATCATGTTAGAACATCGATAAGTATGAGAAAGAAGAAAAGAACAACGTTTGTTACTCTTGTTCTGGTTTTGGTGGTAATTGCTATTTTATCATGCTGCAACGGTAAGGTCAAATGAGGAATAGAGAGTTGGCAAAGAGCAGGTTCAGTGACAACTTTTCTTTATTTTTACAATCCTACAATGAAGATGTTCAATTTTTAGCACAGAGAACTCAGTTTCAGTGCTAAGAGCATTTTCAGAACATTCATTTTGATTCTAATTAATGTTACTGCCTCACATTAATACCCCTATCGGTGCAAAAGCATGTCCGAACGTAAATTAAGAAAGTAGGGAAAAAATGAATGGTTTCATTAAATTCTGGAAGCTGAAAGAATTACCTGACGAAGACGTCCAGATTAATTGTTGTAGAAAAACGGTAACGAAGCAAACATTAAGACGGAAATTTTAAGCTATTCACGAGGAAGTCTTTTTAACTCTTAGCAAATTAAAATTACTGTCTGCCGTCAATCCATCAATCGTTCCCTGTAGATACCAGTTCTGTTTTGTTAGTTCTGTTCTACTTTGTGTTCAATTTAGTTTCAGTCTTTTAAGACTAAAATTAAAAATTAGTAAAAGTATCGTTTCTGTGGAATAGAAATAGATATTAAATTGACTAGTACGCCGCTTAATGAACTTTCCTAGCCGTACGTAAAAGCATTACTTTATTATCATAAAATTATCTATGAAATACCTATATTTCTTTATTTTGAAAAGGTGTTACACCAGTGAAAATAACATATTCGGTGTTTCTCTATATATTATTGGAAATAAAAAGGGTATTTTGCGACATAATTTGTTCTCATGTATAATTGTATGATAAACAGAATATTACATGGTCGCTTTTATCTTCTCGTGTTAAAAATGTCAGAGTGTTGATATCTTTTTAAAACTCGAAGATAAAATCCGATCTCCGCATGCTGTAATACTACCCTCTTTTTGATAGTTTTGATCATTCAATACACACCAAAATTTAGTCTGAAGACACAAAACAGCCAACAAATAAACATTTCATCAAAGCACTGCGATCGAATACTTCCTTGTTTAGTTTTTCCTATGTAATATTTACAAAGCAAAACATGTATTGACAAGAGATTGCTAAATTTGTATTCATTTGTTAATTTATTTATATAGTTGCGTAATATGAAACGTTTTGAGTTTTAATTTATGTAGGTACAAAGATAATTAAGATCGAAGCAATACCTAATTTTTTTTATAATAAGAAACTATCCCAAAATTTATCCAGCACACTGTTCTTTACTAGAGTTTTTCTCGACAGTTCCAAGAACATCGATTTCTGAATAACTTGATTTAATCTTTTTTTTCTCAAAGGTAAAACTATTATAAAAACTAAAAAAATTCAAAGCATTGCTTAAAAAGATTTCTTGTTTAAATGTTCACTGGAAAAAATCGCGCACCATAAAGGTTGTAAATTTGATGGAAATATGTTGTAAGTGTCCAAAATGATGTAAATTTGATGGAAATTATTTACATCAAATTTACATCATTTTGGACACTTACATCATATATACATCAAATTTACAACCTTTATGGTGCGCGATTTTTTCCAGTGGTTGTTAAGGAGTCATGGCACATACCATTCTTTGTCTCAGTTTTATTAAGTCATGTCTGGGCTGCAAAAATTGATAAATTCTGAGTAAAACACCTGAGGAACAAAAACTTCAGCCTAAGTTGCATACCAAGTTTTTTTATTTCTTAAACACCAACAAATTAAACGGAATTCAGTATGTCGGAAAGCTTTTTGCCCTGCAAATCCTGTTAATGCCCTGTTTGCTGAAAGAAAAAATTTTCAAATTTGCATGCGCATCATTGAGACCATCAAAATTGCACGAGGCCGCACTGGACCAACAACTATTCACACTGGGGATGGGGGACTTTGAGACCCCCTAGAGTAAAATGGCAATAACTTTCGAACTAAGACAGCTACATCTCTGAAACTTTGGCAGACTTTTCCTAAAATTTATATTGGCAAATTTTGATGTATACTTTATGTTGATATCGTCAACCATGTTGCCATGACAAACAGTTTTTGACACATAGTTTTCAAAAAAAAGTAAAATATGCAATTTTTCATTTTGAAAGCTTATTTCTAGTTTTATTATGCATTTTTTAACTATTTGCATCAATGCTTATTTTTTTAATGGGATTTTAAAAAACTGATGGCGGTCCAAGAAGGCGTATCCTAAGATGACGGATATTCTTGTCAAAATTGCTTGTTTTAAATGTTTCATAAACACCTCAAATTGCAAAGCTCCATAAATTACCGATGAACCCAAAAATGTGAGATTTATAGTCAAATTATTCAAAGACGGCAAAGACACTATAGAAATGACGTTATCTCAATTATTTAGTATTCTCTATGTTATTGAAGGCAGTTTATTAAAATGCATTATAAATCGTTAAAATAATTTAAATGACGTCATAATGACGTCACATCTAATTGGATAAAAACTGAGTGTGTTGGTTTGTTTTACATTGGCGATCATTGTGTGGAAATTTCCTATTGATTCCGAAGATACCTAGGAATACGGATTCCAGATTCCAAAGCTATTTTTTACTGGATTCCAGAATCCGGAACACGAACTAACCATGTTGAACCGAGGTGCCAAGGAACACTGAGCACAGATCTTTTTTATGCTTACTGCATGTACCTTGATCCTTCGGCTCAATGCTTTGTTAGTTGTCCGTAGTGAACCTGAGTATGGAATAATATAGTTATAGATTTTTAAATACATCTAACACCTTTAAAGCTCCAGCAGTACAAATATGACATTCTGTGTACGATACACGTACTTTTGAATATTATCATTTGCTGTCAAAGGTAAAGATGGCTGTAGAGACCTTGAATATTTACAATGCATTGAAAACAAAACGTTCACTGGTCACGTGATCAAAACCACCAACCTCATAGCACCAGGACTGGAGGAATGTCAAATGAGGTGCTTTGCTGTTCATGATTGTGTCTCGTACAATTTGGGACCAATAAATGATCACAGAAGAACATGCGAGCTGAGTTCATCTGATCATTGGACATTCCATGATGCTCTTAAAGACATGAAGGGCCATGAATACTGCCCTATCAAGGTAATGATGACAATGATAATAATATTCTTGACATAAAATAGTGACAGCCATTAAAGTTGATATTTCATATTATACAGAATCCATGTTCGTCGAAACCTTGCCCGCCTGCTAAACCGCTCTGCTATCCGGACTTTGCTTGGGATAAGCACACCTGTAGAGGTAAGTACAGGCAGCCGAACCAAAACTGTTGTACGTTGTGTTCGTCTGCGAATCACTCGACTAAAATTTGAATACATAAACGTCGATGTGGACAAGCAGCAGAAATGCCAACACACTGAGCCCACAAATGATAACATTCGCACTTCCATTACACCCGATTTCAAATGAGTGCGAACTCT